GCCAGAAACAAAGAAATATGTCTCATTGCAGTGGATGAAGCTCATCCCATAAATTGTTGCAAATCATTCAGGTATGCTACACAGTCAACTCATTAGCTATTACCCTATAGCTGGTTTATCTCATGTGGAATTAATTTTGCGTAGGCCCATATCACCAAATAAGGATTAGCAAAATTTCAATTAGAGGCCATGATATAACAAGCATTACTACACACTCACACACACTTAAATATACACACTAGTAATTACCATATACTATATGGGCACAAAAATGCCTCTATAAGATCTTGAAAGTGCTTCTTGCAAAAAAGCTGCAAAAAACTTTCTGTCCAAAAATCATCCATACAATAATTATATGGCTACAAAAAGTTGAAGTTTCTAATTTTAACTTATTTTTTTATTAGAACTGAATATAGACTGCTTTTGCATCTAAAGTCTCATATTCCTGGTATATCATTAATGGCATTAACAGCAATTGCCACTTCAAAAGTTAAGGAAAAGATTGTCCATGATGATAGAACCAATACTCAAAACTTCAATGGTAAACAGGAGAAATATTTCACTCCATGATGAAGAGTTAAAGAAATTGACATTTTATATTATGCTATGTCATTTCAACCGGTACTACAGACTACTACACATCTATTGCTGACTATCTTGCTGAAGTAGTTGGTAACAATCGCTCCAATTGCTTTAAAAGGAAAAGGAATAATTAGTAGTAGCTATCATGGCAAAAATTTATCTAGCCATGACAAATTGTAGATAATTGAGGATCAGTGTTTTGATGACTCTGACACACAAGCAAGTGTATCAAGCATTAATTCTGTGTATGATAACAAATTTATGTATATTTATAGCTAATGGTGTGCACTTCTGCACCTGGAATGGGTATAGATGTTCCTAATATAGACTTGGTTATTAAACTTGGTTGCTCACATACAGCACATTTGACGAATTAGTCCAACAGTTTGGAAGGGCTGGAAGACATGGCAGAAAGGCAAAGGGTATTGAATGCTATGAAATTTATGTGATGCAACATAATTTTGGTACAGGTCTCCTTTTTTGTGAAGATAACCTCTAGCATGCTTTATTTTGGGGTAAAGATACATTGTGTAAGTCATATGATGAGAAAAAACTGCAGTTATCAAAGTTTCAAGATGTTTGTAGGTACATGTACATCATTTTTATTACCATGTGCCATCAACTTTATGTTATACCCATATACAGGTATGCTTTTGTTCATCATCATTGACGAGATACCAGCTAGTCCTGTAAACTACTGGATAAAAAGAATTAAATCTTCAGGAAAATGATTATTTACAGCTAGAAGGAACCCATCACCTTTCAGACAAGCATGTCATAGCTACTGCTAAACTACTGTCAAAACAATTCCCAGACATGCCAATGATTCAGTCGTGTTTGTATACTCAGAAACTAAGTCTCATTCAGCTGGCTAAAAATGATTCATTATTTTTCCACAACTTTGGGGACCATTGGGTTACTAGTCATTTTATGGATGGCATTGCTTTACTTTATGACTCCTTCTACACAGAGATCATTCACTCAGAGTTAAAGAAGCAGCTCATTGCCCTCAATGGATCTGCTATGGTAAAAGTACCGTGGTTGGTGAAGCAAAAGGTGATAAGGAATGTGCCTGCTTTGCAGTAGCATACGCAGTATCTATTCATTATGTAAATGATCCTGCTAACAATATATTCGATCAGTCACACATGAGACAACACATGATTGAATGTCTCAAAAACATATTTTACATGCCATTCCCATCTATGACATGAAAATCATGATGCAATGTATCAGATTATGTTACCCAACTACATTGATTATTACAAACAAGTTAACAAATTTATGTTATTTAATGTTCAAAGTTATTGTATTGGTCTATGTAGCTAATTATACTTGCAAAATGCATGGTGGAATGCTAAAGGTGACCAGATAAATGTTGCATAGCTATCCCATATTGCAGGAAATTTTGGAGGGAGTTGAATTCGGCAAATTACTATATTTTGGTAATTGGCAAATTTGTGGTCACATACCATTGAGCGTGCATATAATGGCTTGAAATAGTGGATTTTATTTTGGAGTTTTGCTATCAAAATGCCAAGTTCACCAACTTCAATTCCCTCCAAAATTTTCCACTACAGTATATGAGGGAAACTAAGTGCTGTTACATTTTGAAAAAAAGTGCAGAGGCACAAATTCTTCCCCATAGTATTATAGAGACAAAGTAGTGCAGCAAGCATTAATTCTTCCCTTAAGTATTGTAGGAACAAAATAGTGCAGCAGGCACTAATTCTTCCCTATAGTGTTGTAGGGACAAAATAGTGCTTGGTACTAATTTCTGCCTACATAGATAGGTCAAATTGTATATGTGTATAATAGTGCCTAGTGACACCATTATGTAGGAAGGAAATAGTGCATTTGAACACTATTTCCTCCCTCTATAATCATGGTTTTTAAATTTAATGACATACTCTACCAATCGTAAAAAACAGACATACCCCAACACAAAAGCTTCTAAAACATTTGCAAAACAGCTGATGGCAATTAGATATACAAGTATAAAACAACCAAATACTTAGCTGTAGCAACAAGTGAAGTGGTGCTACAAGTTACAAAAAGTCTATCCATTCAGGAGTCATGCAATAAGTAAAATAGCTGTTTGGCTTGCTATTAATAGTACTACTTCATCTCATAACAAGACATTTTCCTTCAATTCCACTTAAGATGATTGACAATGAGCCACAACTCTTGTTATTGCCCTCACCGACGCCATAGGCGTATAGGAAAGGGTACTGCTCTCCTTAATTACATGTACTTCCCCTGCAACTCTTCTATAGACCATTCCCATCCACTAGCTATGCTTAACTAACACAGAGTTACATGAAATCATACCTTTTCCCAACTTTTCTTTCCCAAATGATGAAATCTTTCTTTCCTTAGGGTCCTCCTGTCAACTTTTCTTGTCTTAGCTCGTGTCTTTGGCATCTTCTATAGATACATCATACATCTTTGTTAGAAACATTCAATTCTACCTCAATTATTAAACAAGGTCCAACAAAAGTAACGTGGATAAAACTGCGATACACAGTTAAAGTGAACAGTCAACAGTCTTATAGCCGCACCTACTCAAATTAATTGCATTATAGATAACAAACAGGAAGTGATACTGATGTGCCATATGCTCTTGACGCCGAATATGACTCATAGAGCATATGATGAATAATCTACACATGTGAATAAGCATGGCAATTAGCAATGAAGACTGATAGTGAGGAGTTGCACTTCATTTAGAGCCAAGTTCTCAGTTGGATGAGCTCCAGGTGAATACTTCTACCACCAAGTAGGTCAAATCACACATTTATTTTGTGATGAAGTCAAAAGGGGATAAAACAAAAGCTCTAGAGACTATTGTGTATTACATCAAACATAAGATATTATTTTATATGCCTATAATAATAATTTTAGTCATAATTTAGGTTCAACAGATGCTTTTTGCCATCTATATATACAAAGTTTTATCAACACCTTCACTCTTTCAGAACAAAATTCATCTTGTGCAAAGTTAGCGTATTCCCTTCCTGTTTCTCACTTAATCATGTGAGACTAAATTATCATAAACTTTAATTCATAACAAAGTAATCATTTTCATGGAGACTGTAATAATATTCATTAATGCAATATTATATTTATAGCAAAACATTAATGCTGTCACTTGCTCGCAAAAGCTACAATAAAAAGAATTATCAATAAAAACAAAACTGCATTTAGTAATGGAAAAATAGCAGTGCTATCTGGTAGAATCAATAATGGCAAGTTTCCTACTCGCTTATTTGTTGAAATCCATGCTTCACTTAAGCTGCCATACACCAGGAAAACGAGAACATCAACTTCCATTGCAACCGAGTCTGGAATGAGAGAAGGAAGATAAAATTACCTAATTACTAGAACAAGTAAGTTTCTAAAGAATAAAAAGATATGCACAAATATTTAAAAAATATTTGAAGTCCAATGCATAATTGATAAACAGTGCATGGTAAAAATTTAAAAGCAGCACAAGTGGTACAACTTTTTAATTCCATTTAAGTTTCGGTATTTATAATTTAAAGACAGACATTACTGTATAGC